GGGAAATGGACTACAGAATAAAGTTTAGGGATGTTATTAATGGTACCTTGGATTGGATGGGAAAAACCCATGTCATAGAATATTGTTTAGCATTAGGCTAGGTTTTACCTAAACAAAGAAGATGGTCCTAATTGCCATTGCTAAGGGCGCTTATAATATGATAGGCACATTTTAGTCCAAATTGGAATAGAAAAGGTAATGCTTTTTCAGTTCTCTGATGGGCATGTACCACCAGCAACCAGCAATCAATCTACTGCTTCTTAGGGAATTCTGGCCAATAATTAGAAGGGTTGGTAGGTCATGGGCTTCCCCAAAAATTCATCTTCAATTTTTGTTAGAAACATTTATTTGATTAAAATATTTGCTAATGTTCTATAAATCATGTGTGTATGTATATGAATTTTACATCTTAAAAAATGCATGACATGATGAGAAAATTCTATTTCATAAAGGATTTCTTTTAAGAATTTAAAATGTCATAAATTCCTGTAATGAAACTAGTTTTACCATTGTTTTCCTCATTTTCATATTTGGCATTAAGTTTACAGCGATTAGAGGATACAGTTAATGCAGCTATGGATGGTGGTTGTGAAGCTACAGTCAAATAGCCATTAATTTTATATGAGGCCAAGTATTAAAATGATCAAATTCCTAGGTCAGAACTAAGTATAGCAATATCAAGAAGTTGATTTAGTAGTTGACAAGTGTATACAATAAATTAATGTAGTACAAGAACACAAGTTTGAACGCGAGTTGTTTTAGCACAAGAACACAAACAGTCCAAAAACTATACATGATGCAATAAAAAAATCAGAAAAGGGAGGATTCCAATAGCAAGATAATCTTTGGAATATAGAGGAGTTAGATTCATCAAGTTGGTCAACATTAACCTGCCTCGTAAAAAATGTATGAACATGGTACATGGGCTCCTTAGGCTTCTAAGTTTTCACATTGATCAGCAATAATTGTTTATACTTATAATATGCATTTACTTTATAATAGAATTACTTACTTTTTTTCTTGACCATTATACTAGTATTAAAAAAAGAAAATCATCAATATTTTCTAAGATAACATATGGCATAAATAGCCATTCACAATAAAGCAATGTTTGAATTATTTTAAAACTCTATCCAATACAAACGGTGAAAATCGTTTTATAATCATAGTTGCATATTCATTAAGAATTTTGCTATGAACAAAATGTAAAAATCTCTGTGCCACTCATAAAATAAAAAAGAGAGATCGGTTGGTGAGGGAAAAGAAAAACAGTTGCTTTTGCAGCATCTAATATTAATCTTTCATTAATTGATCAAATTCTATGATTTACCAAATCATTATTACCACAAGGTATAAATATAAGCAGGATATAAAATAAGTATTAAATAAATGGGTTAAAATAAATAATGTGCCAAAGAATAATAATTAAAAAGAAATTAAGCAAAGGTAATTTTTCGGTAGAATATTAGAGTAAATTTGATTACTGATGACCAAAAATTGAAAAAGCAACCAAATTGTCAGTGATGACGCAACGAGGAAAATTTCATACACACTTTCTCATTGCTTAAACAATATTGAATATTTTGCATACATAAAAAGAGATTCACTGAAACTGTGTGGTTCAGAAAAGGAAAATGTTTCTTCAACCCTTTCACGTACAACTTCAACTAGTTTTTTTAATCAAAATATGTGTTTTAGGATATACACATATATATAAGATAAAAAAATTAAATAATGCTTTAAAATATTAAATACGATATTAATTTTAAATAATTTAAATAACGAAATTATTCGAAAAAATGAAAACGTGCAAAGGGCCACAAATCCAAAAACTAAAGGCATGGATGATAGATGGATCATGGATATGAATATTGAATAGTATATAGTAGTAGGAAACTTTCTGTAAATATTCAAACTTAATGGCTACAACTAGGCATTGATTCCCCCTTTAATGGCCCAGATTCGCTTCAGCTTTCTCAATGCCCCTGTGTCTAATTGGGATTTATAAACTTCTAGTGTGGACAAAAAACTTGTACTGTACACACGATAAGATACTTTATTTTATCTAAATTTGACTGTGTGTTTATTCTTCTTATATTTACTTGATATGCACTGTTTAATGGTGTCTTTGGTTAACATCTTTTAATTTGTAATAAAATTATATTTATTAGCAATATTTTTTTTTCATATTTGAATGCAAAATCTTATTTAAGAATAATAATAATATATATCTATTACATGAACTGAAATTGGTAGGACAACTCAACTTTACGAATGCATGAAATTTCACAAGACAATCAATTATTAATGTACATGTTCATGGGAAAATTCCATTTTTCTAGTAAAATGGTAAAACCTGGTTTATATTGAGTGGAAAATCCAGGAATATTACTCATATAGTGTAAGAATTTTAAAACATGTATATGCTAAAAGATTTAGACCCCTATGAAATCATCCAAAATTTTAAATGGCCTCAAAGAAAAATCAATTTTTTTAATCGGTGAAAATAAAAATAACTCTTGAAAAAATAACTCCACACTATAATCAAACAAAGGGAGTATTTCTTTATCGGTGGTTCATTTCGATACTAACTCTTGAAAAAATAAGTATCATACCATGTTAATAAATTATATTTTTTGCTTCTCTAGTTCATAAAATTTTTTATTTAATTATAAGTTGGTAATTTTTATCCATATATATTTTAAAAATTTTCAATTAATCTTAATTTATTGAATATTTACACAAAACTTATAAACTTAGAAATAAAAATCACAATTTTTTTACATAAAATGTGTATATATTATACATTAAAGAGAAATAGAAAGATAAAATAAAAAAATAAAAAAATAGAATAAAATAATTGATATGGTAAAACAAATAATATTATAAAAATATCAGTAAAAATGTTATATAAATAATATATCTCACTACAACAGTTTTCTACCCATAAAAGTTATTGGAATTACTTGCACAAAAGAAGTTATATCCATATAACCATTTGATGCAATAAAGTGACAATAAGAAAAAAAAAATGAACACACAAAAAAGAAATAATATTATTTTAAAGAAAGGAAAATAGAGCCCTAGACTGAAAAAATTTCCTCATTCACATGTACATACCCATCATAGTTAGTTTCTGGGCTAACTGGTATGCATGTTCTTCATTTTGTCATCTTACAAGCCAAGTGGTTTCAAAGTTGGCACAAATAAACAAAGGAGGGTAAAAATGAATATTAGATGCTGCTACGGATCGATATATCTTTTCATACCCCAAAAGAGATAAACGGGAAACATAAAAAAAGAAAGATTTAATTGCACGGAGCAAACATGGGTAGCTATTGGTTAAGAAAAAGAAAGAAAAGTATATATTAAAGCAAAAGATATATCTTTTCATTGGTTCTACTTTAGTGCTGAAACATAGCAAGCATGCATGAGTGGCTTTGTCAATTTATAACCCATGTATGCAGTTGAAGAAAGGAACATTGCAGCTTTGAAAATAGAATGAATTATGAATCTGGGTCACTCATTATTTTCTATGATAAGATGAATAATGGTAGTGTAGAACAGTTGAAGATAGAGTCGAAGAAGAGTTGATATGTTACAAAGGATGCTTGTATATAATAGGAATGCTTCACGAGAGTGTCAGACATATATCTTAGGACCCTCACATATCTTTCTTTTGAGGACACGTCGCTCCACAAAGTATTGGGTTGGGAACAGATAGATATACATGTTTCACTCTTTATCTTTCTCTCCTTTTTTTTATTCTTGAATCTTGAGTTTCCCTTTGGAGAACTGCAAAATTTTGACTTCCCTTTTCCAACTTTTTTATTGTTTTTTTGTTTTCTTTTTAGGAAAGCACTATGAGTCTATACTCATTAATGATCCTTTTTAATCTACTAATTCAGGTAAAAGCATGCTAAAGGAACTGGTTAATAATTCTGTTACATATTAATTCTATTTCACCAGTCGAGTTGAAGTTGTTTATATTAAGTAAAAATTAAAATGCATGATGTTGATTTTAGGACAATGATTATTGTCATATTTATATGTCTGTTGTTATTTTAATTTTTAAAAATTTATATGAAATATTTTTACTATTCATATAGTTATAAAGAGAGTAATGATAAACATGTAAGTGTGACACTAAATATACTCTCATCTTAGGCTTGATGAAAAAATAGTGAGAATTTTGAAGGTAAAATATGACAAAAGTCTGATCATGTAGAAATTCATATTAATCAAAGATTAAAATAACAATAATTAAAATAACAATAACTAAAATTTTGAATGTAAAGTCTTAGCTTCGCTTTATCTGAATGGAAAGATAAACACAATAACTTCATCACTTAAGTTTATTAGATTCAAGTTGAATTAATTATAGCTTACACTGACACTTAACTATGAAGTATTTAAAAACAAAATAATTATGATAAAGTAATTAATAAAATACTAAATAAACAGCAAGCCTACTTTTAAGAACTAAAATAGTTTTATTCCTTTCATTTCCGGAATCGAATTCTATCAAAGGTAGGTTACCCTTTCTCTGTGATTATTTTACTTTTGTAGCATTTTCTTACTTTATATAATTTTTATTACATCATTTATATGAAACCACCCCACTAAGTTAACTCACCTTTATTTAATTTCTTTTAACTTTCCTTGCTCTTGCTTACCACACTCCCTGCATGTTCCATGGGCACGTTTTTTTTGTCATGTAACGCAGATTTTCACGAGGGTTTGACAGAACCTTTCATTTTTCTTCTGTTTCATTTCTTTTGTTTTGTCTCTTTTCTCATCCTTTTGTACAAAGACCAATAAAATTACATAGTCTATTCCTCATTCACATTCACATTGTATCTCAAAAGAAAGCATTATTTAACAACCATGTTACTATTTCACCATATTAAGTTGTGAGCATCAACGGTTCATTCAAGAGTGAATTATTGTAGATTTCTCTCACTATTTCAGGACCCTTTTGCTTACACTTGCAGGGTTAAATGGGGAGAGCCACAAGGTGGCTGAAGAGCTTGTTTGGGATAAAGAGAGACAAAGAGCACAAACAAAACTCAAACTTTGGAGACCCAAGAAGCATGAAATGGTCTTCTTCTGAGAATACTAATAATTCGAGAGTTTTGTGTCACAATCCAGCTACTATACCACCCAACATTTCTCCAGAAGAAGCTGCTTGGTTACAATCCTTCTACACAGAAACAGAAAAGGAGCAGAACAAGCATGCCATTGCAGTTGCTGCAGCCACAGCAGCAGCTGCTGATGCTGCTGTGGCAGCTGCACAAGCTGCAGTGGCTGTGGTTAGGCTCACTAGCCATGGAAGAGGCACCATGTTTGGTGTTGGACCTGACATATGGGCTGCTATCAAAATTCAAACAGTGTTTAGAGGATACCTTGTAAGTTTGCAACTCTGTGTTTTGCTTATTTTATGTTCAAAACAAGATGCTAAATATAGGCTTTTAGCTTCAATAATAAGGAATTTGAATTGGGTTTTGGAATGTTGCTATATCTGTTTTTGGTGCATTGTCTTCACAGTGGAATATGAAAATTGAGATGAGTTTTGTTTTGGGTTCTGAATAGGCAAGGAAAGCACTAAGAGCCTTAAAAGGATTGGTGAAGTTGCAAGCACTTGTGAGAGGGTATTTAGTAAGGAAGCAAGCAAATGAAACCCTTCATAGTATGCAGGCTCTTGTTAGAGCTCAATCTACAATTAGGTCTCAAAAATCTGGCAGGGTCAAGAGCACAAATAATGAAGCATGTAGATTTCAAAACCGAGCTAGAAGATCCATGGTATTGGTACAGATCTCACATTGTAGACACAATTCTCATTATGTGCATAGTGGATACATTTATTCTAAGCTAGTTGTTGTGACAAAATCTTTGCATTGCAGGAGAGATTTGATGACACTAGGAGTGAGTATGCAGCTCCAATCCACAATAGAAGGTTATCATCTTCTTTTGACGCCACAATTAACAACAATAACAGTGTTGATGGAAGCCCCAAAATAGTGGAAGTGGACACTGGGAGGCCTAAATCAAGGTCTAGAAGGACCAACACTTCAATATCAGATTTTGGTGATGACCCATCATTTCAAGCACTTTCTTCTCCCTTCCCAATACCATACAAAACCCCTGCACGCTTATCCATACCAGACCACAGGAATTTGCAAGACTCTGAATGGGGGTTAACAGGAGAAGAGTGCAGATTCTCTACAGCTCAAAGCACTCCACGGTTTGCAAATTCTTGCAGCTGTGGATCAGTTGCACCTGTGACACCAAATAGTGTGTGCACTGAAAACTTGTTCCTAAGTCAATATGGGAATTTTCCAAATTATATGGCCAGTACTCAGTCTTTTAAGGCCAAATTGAGGTCTCATAGTGCTCCAAAGCAACGGCCAGAACCTGGTCCAAGAAAGAGGCTTTCCCTCAATGAAATGATGGAGTCAAGGAGTAGTTTGAGTGGGGTTAGAATGCAGAGGTCTTGCTCACAGGTTCAAGAAGTTGTTAACTTCAAGAATGCTGTGATGGGTAAGCTTTACAAGTCCACAGAATCTGCTAAGGAGATAGACAGAAACTATTACTTTCACCGACGGAGGTGATGATTGCTGAACTCATGAGAGATTCATAAGATATCCACTTTATCAAATGTTAATAAACTATTTTATATTTCTGCGCCCCAAGATTGGCAATTTGAAGATAGATAGTTGGTGTGGGAAACAAGGGAATGTGAGGATAAAATAGAAGGGAAAAAAAAGAAAAGAAAAGTCACCATGTTTTGTGAAAAGTTTGTTCATGGATTTTTCATATATTATTCAAATGCAAGAGTCCAATTTGCCTTTAGTGTAAACTCCCCGAATACTTTTTTTTTTTTATTAATTTTTAGCAGTTTGTTTTGTTGGTGATAATGAAACCTTAATTCGGCTGTTATAGGCTTGTAAGTTGAAACAAATAAAAACCATTCCTAAACAAAATTCACACAAAAAATATTGGAGGAATTAAAAACAATAATTTGCCTATAAGAAAAAAAGGGAGAAGAGCTTTTATTTTATAAGAGTTGAACTTGTCACAGCATGGATCAAACTATACTTTTGTCGCTGAGAGAGAGAACTTAAGGTTCAGTACTTTTTTGAGGGTTACAGCGAGGCTTTGTACAGTTGAATATATGAGAGAGGTGCAAAAAAGAAAAAGTGTACTAATGTAGCTCTAAAAGTGAAGCAACATCATGTTATATGAGACTTTTGAGTTATCAAGTAAACTTTGTTGTCAAATCATTGAGAGAATGAATGACTTAAGGCAAAGCTACATTGATTATGTTCTAACCATTGGCGTTAGACAAAATCAGTTTCTTAGAGCTCTTCCTTTTCATCACTAATGATTGGTGAGATTACCAAAAATAATAATTGATTGGGAATCTCACTGTATTGTGAAGGAATATTCAATGTCAAAGGACACATGACTTGTGGCTCATGTATCGTCACTCATCAAGGACTTTTTACAGCTATGAACAGTTTACAATTGTTTTGAATTTTGAAAGTGATGAGGGAAGAAAGGGATGTGTGTTTTTATTTGCTGCTTGTTGTTGATGCATGCCCCTATGGTGCTTCCAAAACTTGTGTTTTCTGTTTATATGTTTTATTTTTCTTAGCCTCTTCAGTAACTTTCATTGGACTTGGGCTAAATGAGGTCAAATAAAATTTGATGGAGGCTGCAATGTTAACTATTGATTGACTGTGGGTTGTAGCAAAAGATTTAGATACATTCATAGAGAAACATTTTTTATATATAAAGTCTGTTTACAGATTGTTAGAGAGGTAATCTTTTATTTATATATTTATTTACTTTTAAATTCTTCTTTTTTTTATAAGATAGAGACATGACATGTGTGTGGAAAAATTTATTTTTAAGGATTTTTACTTTTTTCGTAAACTTTTTAAGGAAGTTTACTGAATTAAATGTGTATTTTGCGTTTACTGACTTTCCAAATTAAGTACACATTTGAATAACACCGTATTATTATTATTAGTTACTTCATAGAGAACACTACTTAGGGAAGGTGCAGTATTGTGGTTGCTTAACTTTTTGTTTTATACTTTTTATGAGTTATAATAAAAGATATTATTATTTTGCAATTGAAGCCCAACAGGGGCCCGAACAGTGTAGTTGGGCGATGGAAAAACTCTTAAAATGAGAGTATGAAAAATGAGCCGGACTTGGCAAGTTGAAGCTTAAATTTCCAAAGGTTGATGGATTCCATAAATTGTTAGCTTTGGGCTCTACTTTTATTTGGGCTTAGTTTCTGGCCCGTTTTATTTCATCTATAATCACCGGCCAAAAATAGGATGGTTAATATTTCATGTATAGGTGACAAAACAATTTCATACATAGATGATCGTGATATGGAAGACAGAATATAACAGCGAACAAGGTTTTTTGTTTGGTCCACAGTAAGTCCTGCGTTTTGGTCCAAAGACAGAGAAGAGAAGGCCCAGATGTTGAAGCTCCAAAAACAATAAACGAATATTTTTAGACAAAAACAAAAACGCATATTAAGTTGTTTAAAAAATTAGATCCAATAGCCCATAAGAAAAAGGCCTTGAAGACTAAGTAATGTGGCGATATCCATGTTATTTTCATATAAATATCAAATTACGATATGCATGGACAAGAAATTGAAGACTTATAAAGGCACTATCAAATTACGAATCTGTGATATATAATTTATACATAAAAATTTATCCACTAGAGAAATTGAAAATGAAAAAAAAAAAAAAAGTTTCTATGAGTTGAACTACAATTTGATCCATTCAGTCCCATCAATAAAGCTAAGTGAAAGAAAAGGTCTAGCTTCCTCGTCAGTGAGTTCTCTTGACCATGATACTCTCCCTGCAAAGCTTGCTCCAAGTCCTGAGCATTTGTATTGTCCATAAAACACAGTCCTGGTGGTGTGTGGTGGACCCAATACAATACAAAAACATTAGAACAAATTAACTTTCCACATGTGCATGCCATTATGTCTATAGCTGTATACCAAACAACTAAATACAATATATCAATCTGTGGGATTAGGTGGCTAAGGTTCTTTTTAGACACTATGCGCATGCTACTATGCCTTATCTATATTAGCAAATAAAGACATGAAGTTCGGTGGTTAGAATCATCCCTTTGTGTTTAGTATTTAGTATTTGCTTATCTAATTCCCTCAAAAGTGCTACCAATTTCTTATTCTTCAGAAAGTTCCTAGTTTGTTTTTATTTTGTATTTTATTAGAGGGTGCATATCATAACAGGTAGATTTGCACCATATTATGGATATAGCCAGGAGCATTGAACACTCATACAAAGCTGGGCCTCTCTTATCTTGGCCTCACATTCATTTAGCTAGATATGGAGATGCCCCACATTCCTTTGTTATATCATAAGAAAAGACTCATCCATATTTCTTATTGAGTATGATGGAGACATGGGTAGTTCACAAAGACATGTTAGAATAGGTTTAACTTAGTTTTTATCCCATTCAAAATTGTCATATATTTAGACTCCAATTTAATTTAATCAAAACTTAAGTTGACTAAATTTATTGAGATAATATATATGTATAGTTAGATAATAGAATTAAAAAAATAAAAATAAAATTATGATATATTTTATAATATACATTTTTTATTATTAATTATTCAAAAAGTACAAGACATCGGGTTGTGAGTTATTAAAACTCAAAATATATTCTAAACTCATTCTCAAAATTACATCGAATTTAATTTTTGATATCAATATCAGTTGAGTTAAGCAAGTTAGTAGAATTGGATGTTATGGATACCTAATAGAGACTAGTGAAGTTATGCATATGTTATGCTGATACTGAAAGGCTATTTTTGTTATTTTAGTATAAAGCTACTGAGAATGACTGAATACTGTTTGTTTGTGGTTTATAAAATGTGAACTCTTAGATAAAGGGCAAGATGACAAACGAACCTTCACACCCATACGGTGTGGACAGTTCGTGTAAGAAAGTGAGTGGCACCGCCCCATTTTCCTCTAATTGTGGTGAAGGGGTTAAAGTTCTACAGAACCCAACAAAACTGAATTCATGTATAGAAGAAGTAGATAGGGGACAATTTTCAATGTACTTTATGGGATGTCACATACCCTTTTCTAATGTCAATTTTTTAAGAGCAATGAATCACGCTTTATAATGTCCTATTAGGTGTGCAATTATATTAACATAATCACGACCTTGTTTGCATGGATGTATGTGTGTGTGTGGTGAGAAAGAGGGAAATGAATTAGAGAACATACATTTCACGATTAGGATCACCCCAATTATACCATCCTTTGGGAATGATGATGTTGTCCATATATGTGTAAGCGAAGACGACGCGAGAAAAGGGACCCCAAGCCCTCCCAAGATATAGTGCTCCTGATCCCGTGACCTTACAGTTCACAAACGAGAACCCCGTGTCCTCCAACATACTACCCCTTCCTTGTGCTGTTACAGCTCCTGTGTTCTGTGCTATGGCATGCACGTGACATTCCTAAGTCAACACTCACTTGTCACTAACATTATAATCATATTTCATAGCTATCAAACAATCTGATTACGTGTCCTAAAGGAAACATGTTAGAAAAATGAATTCAATAATTATGTGTTTGTTTATTAATTCATCATATTAGAAAACAACTTTATGGTAATTGAAATTATGATATTTGAAGGTTTCAAATTATTGATGTCGACTGATAGTCTAACCTCAAACAGCGAGAGAGAATTGCCAAATATGAAATCAACAGAGCCTTCAATGTAACAATCCTTGTAGTAATGTCTGCCTACATGATCATAAAGTGTGTCTTGTGCTCCTAAGAATTTGCAGCCTAGAAATGTTGCTGTGTCTGCTGAAATCCTTAATGCCACTGCTTGCTTTCCAACTGCTCCTGGTGCAGGAACAGGAGTTGTGTTCTGCATTCAAAAATAAATTTAAAAAGTTGTTAAAAGTGAAAACATTTATTATCTCAAAATCATAAAAAATATTCAATGCATTTTATGGTAATATATAGCATCAAAGAGGAAGGGTGTTTTTTACTTGGAATGTGATGTTCTTGGCAATGAAATAAGGTGAATTCACTGCAAAAGTTGCTGAACCATAGGTTCCTAGAGGCCTACCATTTGGGCCAGGTGTTTGAGCAGTGTCACCCCATTGAACTATGGTTTTATCTGCACCAGCTCCTTCAATGGTTATGAAGGATTTCAAAGCAGGAATGTTAACCTTCTCCCTGGACAATCAAACACACACACATACACAAATGCAAGGGGGAAATCAGAGGCTTTAATTCAAATGCAATTAACAATTGGCTACAAGAATAAACGCAGAAGAAAATTTGCACAATAAAACATAGGGTTTGAAGAAAAAAAACCAACTAAAGTGAAGTCCATCAGCTGAAAATTTTCTTCAGTCAAACACCAGTTGTGTGAGAATTCGAATGATCGAATCAGAAGGAAAAAGACACTAGAAGAAACAAAATTGTTAACGTTATCGTTTTCCAACATCACTCTAAGTGTAAGCTATATATATATATATATATATATATATATATATATAAACACAATCCTGAATGCAGACAAACAGAAAAATACACGTCTTACATGCACAAACCACAATTTGAAAAGGGCACAAAGCAAAGGGACCAGAATGTGGCAGAACTCAACTGAATGAAGTACAAGGAAATATAGTACTAGTACTCACGTGTAAACCCCTGCATGGACCTTTATGACCACTCTCACAAGATTGATGAATGGTAGGGAATCAATGGCTTCTTGAATTGAAGTGAAATCTCCACCAGAAGGATTCTTATCAACGTGCAAAGTGTAAGAAGCAACAAGCTTATTTTTCGCTGCCTTAAAAACAGTGTGTTTGAGGCTACCAACAAAGGTTACCCATTTCATGAATTGCTGTTCTGAATACTGCACTCTAGTCATGTTAGTTGATAACGCATTTCCTGCAGAACGACCTGGTCTAATTCCCTTGGTATGGCACTGTATTCTACTGGGATTTTGCAGAAGAAGAAGAGCAACTAACATGATGAAAATGTAATGCAAGTTTGACATTGTTAGAGAGAATTTGAAGTGCTTTAGAAATGGGTTTGTGCTATGGCTTTATATACTAGTTATGGTACTTAGTTTAGGTGGAAAGTGAAGCTGAATCAGAAAAACAATGACAGAAAGAGAGGTCACGGGTGCTTCTACTGCCATCAATGTAGAAAAGAGAGAGAGAGCGAGAGAGAGAGAGAGAGAGAGAAACAATCTAAACCACAGGACAGGTTTCACTTTTTGTGTATAAAAACATTAATGTAGTAGAAATATTTGGCCATTGGTTATCTTCCCTTTGTTCTGGTTGTTTGTTTGGTGTTGCCCGTGAGCCTCTTTCTGTTTGTGCATGATCATGGAAATATTCTTATTGAGATAAAATACTATAATGGGTTGGGTACTACTTGTGTGTATTGTATAACATTTCACGTGAAAAATATACAATTTGATGCCAACTTTCTGCTTATGCATGCTGAATTAATGCTGATAATACCTACCCTTGAATCATGGCCGTCCAATATTTGGACCCAAATTAATGTAATCAGATTCTTCTTGTTGTTTAGCTAATTACTGTTATTTGACCACTTGTAAGTGGTTCAGATTAATTCTCAATTCTAAATTCCATGTAGTTGGTGAATTAGAGAAACTCTGTGGGCTCCCAAAATGGACTTTGGCAGAAGCAACAATGCCAATGGCCTTAGGCCAAAGTCATAACTCTAGTGATGTGAAAGAACCTGCACCAAGACAAAACTTGAATTTGTTCAATCTTCCTCTTGTTCCCTCTTTATGCTTTTGTTCTGTGGAGATACTATTTTTCTTTAGGCAGATTCTGTGTACTGCTATGTTGAGTTCATCCTTAGTCCTCTGCTTCAGTGTTTTCTCTTGCTTGATCATTTTCGGTTCTCTTTAGAAAAAATAAGAAAAATTACATTGTACTATATTCATAAATAAAACTTTTATGTAGATGTTTTTTTTTTGTACATTAAATTTGAAATATGACGTTCTACTTATATTCCCTCTAGTTTAAGAAACACATCAACTAAAATTAATTAATGTGTGTAGATTTGTTATTTTTTAATTAAGAAAATTATATCTGTGAGTAGATTATATTTCTACCATTAATTAAAATTTAAAAAATCTAATGACCTGTGAGTCTTAAGATAATATTTAGTACACGAATAAGGAAGAACAGAACACCAAACATAAATTATGTTTGATTCATTTTGATGCGTCTATCAAATGGTGCATAGAAAACCAAACATGTAATCAATTAGCATAAGGTTATTCCAGTTTAATTAATGTTTTTAAGTTTAAGTCCTGTGTAATTATAGCTAAATTAAATATCCTAAGAGAAAACTTTTATGATGATATATAGTAATCCTATCTGACCTCTTATGACAAACACATATTGTCTAGACAAAAATGATGCTAAGATATCCTCAATTTTACTCCAATACGATAATTAAATTTTAAAAGTTGACAAAATTTACAAACGAAAATGCACCATTTGTATAAAAAAAAGTCTCCAGTTGAAAGATCATGCTATTGATTGAGAGTTGAGACCAATAGCTACTGCCCCTTTTGGTGTTTGGTCCAACTACTCCTTCTTGGCTAGGATGGGCTCAGAAGAGTTTTTTGGAGTTCGGGTTGGGCTTAGAAATACATTCTAGCTAGCCCTACACAGTACACATTTAATTCCGTGATTAATGCAACATGAGATTTGTACAAAATATAATTTTAGTTGACCAAACAAATACATCATCTTAGTTCTTCAAACATTCAACATTAACCATATTAACTTTTAAAAGATGAAAATTATTATTTTTGCTCTAAAAAAACATCAATCAATTTAATCTTTTTATCGACATATTCATCTTTCAAAAAACAAAATGATAACTTCTATTTATCAATAACTAGTGTAACATCTTGAGAATCAAAATGAAAATTAATTCTATTAAATTAGTTTATGGTTGTGATTCATGAATAGTAATCATAGAATGAGCCTCCTCATTTTTTCACATGTATTGGATTCTATATGCAATGGAAAAATGTTGTTCATACCACAAAACTGTGTTTCCTTTATATTTATATTTAATTTTATAATAATGTATATAAAAAGTAGAAGAAAAAAAATAATGATATGTAATGTAACACAATATCAATAATTAGTGAATTGGTATTGAAGAGAGAATTTTAAAATTTTAAAAAAATAAAATTAATAATAAAAAAAATACTTAGAGTTAAGTCAGGTATGAAAGAAGCTATGAATGATAAATTCAAAAAGTTAAATATGTGAGACAAATTTTTAAATTTTTTTAAAGATAATTCATTTGAAATTCTTTACATTTGACATACAAATTATCTAATTTAAATTTTACAGTATTTTAAAAAAAATACTATCTAAATTCATATAACCAAATAATTTTAAATTACTCAATCCAAAAAAAGAAGTCATTGTCGAGACATCAGCGAGTCACAACTTTCAATTATAGATACGGAAAACAAAACAAATTGAAGAGTTCACTGTGTGAGAATTAAAATATTGCAAGTTGCGGAGTCATAACTCATAAAGACACTTGATGAGACTTACTTTGTCATATTATAAATATTTTTAGTACTGTTATTTTAGTTAAGATTAGAGTTTGATCTGAATAGCATATACTAACCTCTTAATGATAACCTTTATTGCACTAGTTCCGTAATTGGGTAAAATTTCAATTTTAATTGGAGAAGAATGCTATTGCGCCTAAATTTTATATTTGGGGTTGTTGCAATTACTGTAAATTCCGTACAAATGATATATACTTAGAGGTGGGGAAGCAGTAACACTTTTCTTATATTTTAATGTTTCGATTTAATGTGGGAATCCTCCCAAATGTGTAGCTTTCTATTTTTATTGGAAATCTTTGGAATTTGTTGCCATCTTCTCCATGTTGAAATATAGAACTTCCTGATAACAAATTAAAGGTCAGTATTCATTTCATTCAGGAGAAAGCCACATATAGTAAGGCAGCGTGGGAACCAGACTAACAGAAGCAACAAATATTGATGATTATGATGATGATGGTGACGGTAATAATAATACTTCAGAAAAATGGCTAACTCTTTGATTTCATCCATATTATATATGACAATGATTAAAGCATCCAATGACACTTGATGTGATAAATTTCTTAACCAAACTAACGGGTGACTTTACACCTGGTTTTGTTATCAATGAGTGCAAAATACACAAAAACCATACACACCATAACTAATAAAATCTGCTATAGTTAGTACATAACTCAGTATTCTAAAACATATGTTAACTATGGTTCAACTTTTATCGTATGTATGAAAAAGACTTCATTGACAGAAACAAAACTCACTTCAGCCTCCAAGAATTATTTTCTGGCTGTTGCAAAGGAGATATCATTGGTCCACAAAATAAAATACACCCTAACAATCTCTCTCTCAACACACACACACACACACAAATAGGCCAAACCATAGACACCAAGAGAAGCCAAGAAACCTCCTCAAGCTAAAGTGCCTTCAAATAAATAAACAAAAGAAAAACTATCCAAAGAGAAGGAAGTAGTAGAATTCATTAGTGTGCCATGATCAAAACAAGCACAACCACCACCTTAATAGCCATAGCCACCTCTTACTTGCTACTTGTGATTACACCAACCCCAAAATCTACCTATCACTCACTCTTCGTATCCAATTCTCTATCAGACAATGCATCCGTATCACACCACCTCCAAACTCTAACACGCAGACCCCACATCGCAGGTTCTGAAGCCAATCATGAGGCTGCATCATATGTTATCTCAGTCTTCACCTCTTCAAACATACCATCCCATGTAGCATCATACGAGGTTGCTCTCGCATATCCTTTATCACGTTCCTTGGTCTTAACAAACCCACCACCACAACCACCCACAACCTTCACTCTAAAAGAAGAAACCTACGAGGGTGATCCTTATGCTGACGTGGTGGACGAGGTTGTTCCCACGTTTCATGCGTATGCCAAGTCAGGAACTGCCACTGGGCCTGTGTGTTATGTGAACTATGGAAGAGTGGAGGACTTCATGACACTGGAGAAAAAAGGTGTGAATGTTTCAGGCACTGTTGTATTGGCAAGGTATGGGAAAATCTATAGAGGGGACATTGTGAAGAATGCTTATGATGCAGGTGCGGTTGGGGTGGTGATATTTTCAGATAGGAAGGACTATGGTGGTGCAAAGTGGTTCCCTGATGATAAGTGGTTGCCACCAAGTGGGGTTCAGGTGGGGACAGTGTATGGTGGGGTTGGTGATCCCACAACTCCTGGTTGGGCAAGTGGTGGTGAGTGTGAGAGGCTGAACAAGGATGAGGTGGAGATGGAAGGTGATGTTCCTCTCATACCTTCATTGCCTGTGTCAGCAAGAGATGGTGAGAAGATAATGAGGTCAATTGGTGGCCCAGTTGCTGAGGATGATTGGCAGGGAAGTAAAGATGATCTTATTTACAGGGTTGGACCAGGACCAGGGATTCTCAACCTTAGTTACATGGTATTTTTATCTTAACTAACTAGGGGAAGTTTCAGTTAAATTTGTTAGCTTTAACTTCTTTTCATTTTTCTTTTTAATTTCATATTATTGTCAATTATAGGCTTGTGAAAATGCCTCACACAAAAGACACTTCAGTGGTCGTTGATTGGTTAAACAAGAAGGAGACTTTGCTAAGTGGATTTTTGGATGTTGGTTTTCAGGGGCAGGAGGTTATAACCACAATTCAGAATGTTATTGGTGTGATTGAAGGAGCAGAAGAGCCTGACCGGTACGCAAAAATTGATGACATAGGAATGAGATGTGATGTACCTAAGATTGAGAACTTAGGAAATTTTCACAATATTTTTGCTTGAATTCTTGATTTAGTCACTGTTGCAATTGCTTGTAGATTTGTCATAATAGGTAACCATAGGGATGCATGGACATTTGGAGCAGTTGATCCCAATAGTGGCACTGCAGCTCTACTTGAGGTAAAAATGGCTTTGTTTGTAGGCATTGTTTTGTGTATTCATGCCAAACCATTGAGAAAAAATGGACCTTATGGCACAAGTGACATGTCTCCTGAAACTCAGATTGCGCAAAGAATGGGGAAGCTTCAGAAAAGAGGGTGGAGACCAAGGAGAACAATTATCTTATGCAATTGGGATGCTGAGGAATATGGCCTTGTAATTCTCTCTCTGCCTCTCTTTTGTCTCTCTTTCTTACACATAGAGGTGTATGCCGCATGAAAGTTTGATGTCAAGTTATCATTCGCTTCAGATAGGATCAACTGAATGGGTAGAAGAGAACAGAGAAATCCTTGCTTCAAGGGCTGTTGCTTACTTGAATGCCGATTGTGCAGTAGGTGGACCAGGGTTCTCTGCCCGTGCTACTCCACAACTTGATGAATTGATCAAAAGAGCAACTCAGCAGGTATCACCAAGTTGAACCAAAAATAGTGGAATAAGCCCTTTTGTACATGATCAGGGGAAGAAGATACATGATGGTGCCACGAACCACTTTTTTTTTAGTATTGATTCTTTTGTAGGTCAAAGACCCAGATAACTCATCTCAGAGCATTTATGAATCTTGGACTGGTAATTCTGGCAGTTCCCCTCTGGTAAGCATATTGCAATTGTTTACATCTTTATGGTTTAAATCCAATTAGATATCGAGACTTAGGGAAGACCAAAATCATCAATGCAGTGTAGAAACTATCAATTTGCTTTTAATTTTAACAAATTAGCCAATTGGGGGTGGGGACTAAACTTTTATTTTGATACATGTGGGGATTAAACTTCAGAACAGTTGTATAATCTGAATATCTTTCTATATGCTCATAAACTATTTATCTATGATGAAAGCTCGGAAGGTTAGGAGGTGGAGGATCAGATTATGCATCATTTTTGCATCATGTGGGAATTCCGGCAGCTGACATAGACTTTGGAGGGGGTAAGAGACAAAAATCATTCTTTTAATTATTAATGATGCAGATATATCAATAATCTGATTTCTGCCATACATCTCATTGTTCTTTTTGTAAAGCAAGTAATAAATTATCTATCATAAACAAAAAGAAAGGAAGAAGTCATTGTACTGAAAATATAAATTCAAATTCCTTAGATTTCTGAACAACAATTCTCAAGCTAGGATGAGACAGAATTTGAGAAGGCTTATCATTTGAAAAATTACACTTGAATTATATACACTGGGTAGAAAAAATATACCTCTAAAGTTAGCAAGTAGAGATATATGATATATCTATTCTTGAATTTAGTGGATTGAGCTCACAATGCACTTTAAATTAAATCAAGGATGGATACATCCTTATATACTCGCTTTAATCCAGCTGAGTAATATGTTCAACAACACAAGTAAACTCAGGCTGAGACACATACAAGTTACATTTTGTCATCAATGAGTGGACATTGAAAGTTTGAAACCCCTTTTTTCTGATACTGCAGCATTCCCGGTATACCACTCACTGTATGATGATTTCATCTGGATGAAAAAATTTGGTGATCCTATGTTTCAAAGGCATGTTGCAGGTTGGGCACATAAATTTCTTTTACAGTTTCTATCACAGTAGAGTTGATTCTAGAGGCTTCAAAATGAACTAAAGCTCTACTCTAGTTTTATATCTTCAGTTTATTTGAAAATTATTAAGAGTATGATACAAGAACTTCCTTATCATAGGTATGTAAGATACAAAGTAAATTTCAACATGTTAAATTTTCCACAATAGGTAGACACAACGTGCACACCGAGAGTTACAAAAGAGAAATTTTTGTTACTATGTTTCACTGTAAGCCTTAATTAAATCAAAGTGCAAGCGTATAACTAGCACAGATCTTAATTCATTTATCCGAATTATTGCTTATGTTGTGGAAAACAGCGGCAAGTGTTTGGGGTCAAGTAGCACTTTGGTTAGCAGATGAAGAATTCTTACCTTTTGACTATATATCCTATGCTAAGGAGCTCCAGGTGTGCCCACATGAGATAGTGATTTAATGTAATTTTACACACAGACTATTCTCACTGAATTTGAGAGCATGAAAGATACTTACAACACTATATGTCTAAATCACAGCTTAGCACGGAGAAACTGGAGGATGAGATTTCAAATAAAGACATAAATTTGTTACCTATATTCAAGTCTATCAAGGAGCTTGAGAAAGCTGCAATCAAGATAAATAACCAGATAAAGGTATCTCTTGAATGTCTTGAGACCATAATTCTTAAATAGCAAATAGCATAATGGTTCCCTTTTTTCTTCTAATTTTTTTGAGGGGGGAGAAGTGTAAAACATTGAAATGTGATTCTTTAGGAAATAGGTGCAAGAAAAGGTTGGACAACGTGGAAGAAGGACCACTTGAAAGTGAGAGAGCTAAATGATAGATTAATGATGGCTGAGCGTGCATTCACTGACAGAGATGGCCTCTTTGGAATGTCATGGTATAAGCATTTGGTAAGTTTTCTTTTCTTTTTTTGGGTACCAACAGTTGAGAAGTCATTTTCAAGTCACATTCTTCCTTTGGTTTATGACATTGGCTGCATTTGGATACATAGCTTTATTAATTGCTTATTCAATAAGTTCTTTTTAAATGATGACATATGCTGTGAATTTAACTATGAAGCTCGTGGAGATAAGCTGAACACAATTTTTTGATAATACTAAGAAACTTATTAAATTAGCTAAAAAAAGCTAATGAGAATAAAAAATTGTTTCAATAAGTTGTACATAAGCTCTTCTAAACAAGCCAATTATATTCTTATAATGTAACCAATGTTAGTAAAGATTACGAGGGAAAGTCACTTTAGAGTCTAACCTGGGTTAAATGAAAATGTTTTGACATAAACCAAGGTTGTTACTAAAGATGACACTGAAGGAAAAGAAAAAATGGACAAAATTTGACCATATATTCCCTTTCTTATCTACTAGGGAAACTTTTTGTTGAAGTTGAAAAAATGGACAAAAATTGACCCTTTTGCCCCATTTTTCAGATATATGGACCATCAAAACATAATGACCATGGGTCTCAATCTTTCCCTGGAATTGACGATGCTGTTAAAATGGCCAAAAATCTAAATACTGTAGAATCATGGCATCATGTTCAACACGAAGTTTGGAGAGTCTCAAGAGTCATCATACATGCCTCGCTAGTTCTCATCGGTCAACTAACATGAATATCAATTTACTTGTACATTTTCTATAGATGATAACTTACATGTCCATGAGAATAAATAGGTATATGTGTGACGGTTCACAAATCTTTCATAACTCAAAAGGAGCACTATTTAGGATTCTCTCATCCTCTCATCTGTCAAATGTACTTTGCAATTTGAATGATTAGTTGCAAGGTAATTTTTCATGCATTATACAAAGGCTGTCACTCTTCTGTAATAATTAGCCAACATATGAATTCTTGAAATAAATCTTGACACAAATTGGGTCTTTTTCATCCGTGTTCCAAACACAATTATTATTTTTCATTGCCCGTACAAGGTTATATCATCGTATTTAAAGGAGAAATTGTTTAAGTATAAAAATTTGGTTTTTTAAGGTCGAAAGTTCACAAATTTCGTTTTTTTACTTTTGATAGAAAGTATAAATATTTGGTGACACATAACAACACAAAACAAAATTGGGCCGTTTATGAAGGAGATAAAAAAAAGAGAAAAATGAAGCATGAGATATTTGATGTGCAGTATTTATTAATTTTTCATGCCTAAAGACGTGCAATAAAGTCCATACGCCAATTATAAAATTTTCATTAACGTGCATGTTGTGTACACACGTGAGAAAAATTGTTTACAATTTAAATATGCGGAGGTTGTGTAACTGTCTCAGATTGTAATCTTGATCCCAAATTAAGATTTCAAGCCACTTTTGCTTGTCGCCTTACTCAGGAGGCTGACATGTTAGTGCCTACAGCTCAAAACAGATTGAAACACAACTCAGGAAACTGAAATCCCGTGAGCAGGACTTCCAAGACATTTTAACAGGATTCCAAGATACGTAAATTTAACTTTTCCAAAGGAAAAATTATATACGGTCTCTCAACCTCCATTGGAAACGAAGAAACAAATAGACCCATGATCCAAGATGTGGGAGAAATTATTGTTGGTTATATTAATCATCAGATGAAACGATAGATGACAACTGATTAATTGGAACCACGAGACTCGAACATCATAAAACTAATAGATTAAATCAAACAGTGTCTATAAGACCACTGGCAGGGCCAGACAAGAAGACAACTTCAAAGAAACAGCGGTTGGTCTAAAATATATCCAAAACCCAAAATAAATTTTCACGGAAAATGGTAGTAGATTATATCAACAAATATCCTACTGAACACACGTATTCAATTGTTAGATGGAATCTGCTTGTTCAGAACAGAGTCTACAGACGTAATCCACCTACTATTTGTGCCATAAACATTCAAGGGATTGTCAATGAAAGATATGGAACTACTAATTATATTAATCTAATTTCGTACTAAAAAAACTGAGGTACATATCGAGGGTACACAAAAATCGGAGAGTATTGAGGGTTGGCTTTAATGAAGACCTGGTGGGTTAGTTCCTATCACTCATTTACAATTCTAACTACACTAGGATTTGACACTACTTATGTACAATAATGCCACGATGCACTTTAGTAATTTACTTCCAAACCTTGATGCCCCCATCTCTTCCACTTGAAAGTAAGAGTCTCTGGTTTAACTTGATAGAAGCCAAAGATACAATAGAGTCACGATGGCAACCAGCAGAATCAGTGGCAGCGGCTGAAAGAATTGCCTTTACTGTCAGCTTAGTGGGGAGAGGACGTCTTTTTGTCTCCTGTTTATAAGAGTAAAAAGTAAAATTCCAGTTGCCTATATTTCAAAACAAGTTACAATATCTAACAGCATTCAGACGGCAGAATAAATTTAACACGTAAAACATTGACAAGGATAACAGAGATTCAGCCATTACAAAATTCAGAATTTGTTGAAGAATGTAAAAGCTCATCGCCTATGCATTAACCTATCATCCTATCCAAATCATTGATTTTCTCTTGCAGCCAATTCCAAATGAAATCTTATTTGAACCATCTAGCTCATCCTCCGGAGTCATATCACATCCCAGTCTCCCACAGATGATGAAATCAGATGGATTGATATGGTATTTGGTAAATACATACTTATCTTAAATATATTAATTATTTCTTTATTTTCGGATCACTTGGAAAGAACAAAGAAAATATCTTGGTTTTTTCTTCAACAATTTTTGATTTCTCTAGTGGACCTCTCAGTAGACTTTGAACCCCTTGTTCACCTCCTCTACATTGTTTCAGAAAAGAAAAACCTTCTACAAGGGATACATGATTCAGAAATAACCTCTCTAAATTTGATTCAGAACAAATCATTCACACCATTTTTCAAAGTTTTTTAAAGTAAAGAGAAAAGTGTGAAGGAAGAGACTAACTAAGGGTGTATTTGAAAATACAACTTATTAAGCACTTATTTCAATAAGATCTTATATAAGGATTTACAATATAAATTTAATCATGCAAATTAATTGAATAAGTTAAAAAAAGCTTATTATGATAAGTTATAATACTAGAAACTAAATGAAATAAGCCGAAAAGAATTTATGAGAGTCATAAGCTGTTCATTAAAACAGTATTTATCAAAAGGGAAGCTGGGTATCCATGAAAAACCCCCAAAACTTGAACAAGAAAAAATACAGTATCCATGAAAACTATTTATTATAGCAAATATTTATCAAAAGGGAAGTTGGGTATTTCTTATTTATTGATTTGTTCCGCAAAAATCATTAGCTGATCCTTGGCAGTTTAGACAGAACATAAAGAGAAGAAAAATAAGGACGGTAGAGCTGAACCAACCAAAAGTATACTACCTAGGTCATATCTCAAGGATAGTTGAAGTATACACACCTATATTTTATTCAGCCGTACAAACCATAAATCCAGGCTTATTGAGAACCTTCCCCCTCAAACAAAATATTCATACACACAAGAAATAAAAAGCTTGAATGCACTATCTACTGAAACATAAATTACCTGTACAACTTGCACCCCAAAACTAGATTTTGTTTCATAAAAATCATCATTTCCTACTCCTTTTAAGCTTGGTCCACAGATACAGTAACTTCTGTCAGGTCTGCGACAAAAGAACACAGGTAAAAACAATTAGACCATGATCACAAGAAAAACAAGTAAACAAGATTGAAGTTCAACACAAGACCTGTAATGATCCCACCGACGTATCTTCAAATCAGTGCCCCCAGTCAATAAATCACCCCCTGGCAAGGGAAGTAGAGAACGAATACCCGGAAGACGAGGAGGAGGTTCATTTAGCTCATCAACTCCATACTTGCAATTAACATTTCGTCTTAGATCTGACTGAGAAGTTGGCTTACTTGAAGGTTTAGCCAAGGCCCAAGGCAGATCAGACATCTCTGCATCACTGTCATAATTGGCCATCCGTAGGACCTACAAGAAGACTTGTTAATTGTACAAGACAATCATAAAATAAAATAAATAAGAAATTTTACATGTGATTCAATATGGTTATAACTTATAAGTAATCTGGGTACAGGCTCATACAAAAAGCATGATGGGACCAGATCATTATAAATCATGTTACACAACACTCCCAGTACAAGTGAATATCGATAAAAACAAGATGGTAGACTTCAATAGAAAACCATATCTTCTCTGGATAAATAGAAACTGGAACTTAGCTGGAATATTTGTTGGTAGTGTGTTTTGATCCAGTACATATAGGCTTTTAGTTGTCATTGTCAACAAATTGAAAAAAAAAGTAACCTTGTACCTGGTGGCAGTTAGCATTCTCTGCATTCCAGAGAGAAACTTCATTGCAACCAGCAGCCACATAAACAAGGGGCCTAGCAGTTGAAGACAAAGAAGCATTTGGAGGAGGAAGAAAGAGACACATCTTTTCTATTGGGCAAGCAAGAGAATACTGCCAAGAATTCACAGGTACAAGAAACCTAAGATCCCAAAGTGTAATAACACCCCGGGATGACCCCGATACAAACCAATTACCACAGGGCCCTGATGCCAGAGAAGATGCATAGCCCTCCTCAGGTGTAGCTTTTAGAGTCCAAGTATTGGAATTTGACCTAGTATCCCACAGATGAATGCCACAGTTCTGGGTGCTATACATAATTGTATAATTATCCACAGGGCAATTCAAAAGGTTGAGTATGGCACCTTCCTTGACATCCTTCTTTGTGATATCAGCAATACCAGAGTATTTCTCAACAACATTTCCTAGACCTCTAGAGATATGATCAACAGAAAACATGTGAATAAACCCATCAGATGCTCCAACTATAACTTGTGCAGAACCTGGAAGCATTGATGCACACAATGCACGGCTTCCCTCCAGGTGATAAGTTAGCTTTGACCTAAATGAAATGTCCTTTTCCAGCTTTCTGGAATCCCAAATCTTGACTGTAGAGTCATCAGATGCACTCACAAAGAAGCTATGATCAGCAGAAATAGCTATGTCATTGACAGCTGAACGGTGCTCCTGGAGGTGTGCAACCAACACCCCACGAGGCCTCCAACCAGAATCAGGCATGGATGCTCGAGCAAAAGAAGGAAATCCTGACAGATCAGTTTGGGCAGTTGCATCTTCCAGAGCAATTGAAGTACCTTTAATATTAGTAGATAATCCAGCATCTTGAAATGAGCTATTAACATAGGCTGTCTCATTTTCCCTGGCATCTGGTTCATGTACCACTCGATGGAACTGTTTAGAACCATTGCTGATGCTAAAAGAACCTGAGAAAAGCTTTGGTGCCGGAACCGAATTAGCCAAATTAAAGGACTTACTAAGTGGATTAACCCAAGGCATTGCAGATGAACTAACACCTAGAGAATTCATTTGTAGTGGAGGATCAGATGCAGCAGGAGGGATTCCCGTTCCCCGCCTGTCCACACTGAAGGAGTACAAAGGTATGCCTTCCGATGGCTTTTCGTATGTCAAACTGTTCACACCACTAAAATGTGGTGACATAAATCCTGAAAACTGTAACTTCTCCAAGCATTGAGTATCACGATGTCCCACCATATTGCTATCGTTATGCATGAACGCCCCCATATCTCTCAATTTTGCCTCAGCTTTGTCACAATCAATTAGCCCTGGCTGTTGGAGGGCAGTGCCAACAGTTTGTTGAACCTCAGGGTCTTGCTGCTTGTCAGTCCAGTTTTTTAATGAGTCCAACTCATCAATTCCTTTTTTCAGTAAATCCATCTCCCATAGTTTAGATTGTGATGAACTATACCATATTTTTCTCTGTCTTTCTAACATGTCCGAACTCCTCGAGTTTTCCAAGACTTCATAGAAAACCGGTCTTGAGACTGGAGGTTTTAAACATGACAAAAGAGCCTTCTCTGAAGCAAGAGACACAGGTTGCC